CGGATCGTGATGCGCTATGGAAGCTATGTTGGCGATAGCCTCTTTCAGCGACTTAAAAGCAGCGCGTGCTGCGGTAGGAAATTCGAACGTCTTGAGTTTCCCTCGGAGAAGGTCCGTGAGGGGTTGCATCAGCGAGGCGCAGTTGGGTATAAATCGACGGTAAAGTTGACAAGGCTATCAAAACGCCTGAGCTGTTTGAAAGAATGAGGCTCGGGGTAGTCGATGATGGCTTGAATTTTATCCTGCAGTGGCACGACGCCTGCAGAAGAGATACGATGGCCCAGGAAATTGACTGAATCGACACCAAACGAACACTTTTCTGCGTTGATCGTCACCCCGTGTTGAGATAAACGATCAAAAAGTGTTCGTACGTGGCGTATGTGCTCTTCTCGTGAAGAGCTTGCGATTAAAATGTCGTCAAGATACGCGTAAGCGAAGTCTAAACCGCGACAAACTTGGTCGATGAAACGCTGAAAAGTTTGCGCGGCGTTCTTTAGGCCAAATGGCATGCGCAGAAACTCGAACAAACCAAATGGAGTCGTCACGGCAGTTTTAGCGATGTCCGCCTCGGCTACCGGAATTTGGTTGTATGCGCGTACCAAGTCGATTTTGCTGAAGATATTTTTACCCGCCAGACTGGCGGTGAGATCCACTATGTGTGGGATCGGATAGCGATCAGGCGTGGTTACCGTATTCAAGGATCGATAGTCGCCGCAAGGACGCCAGTCCCCCACAACCTTCTTCGGGACCATGTGCAGAGGCGACGCCCATGGGCTGTTGGACGGTCTGACGATACCAAGTTGAAGCATGTGGTCAAATTCGGCTCGTGCTGCCCGTAGTTTGTCTGGAGCAAGCCGTCTTGGCCTTGCGCTAACTGGTTGACCGCGCGTAACTATGTGGTGAGCGACCTCTGTTGTGACTGGTGGAAGCTCTGCAGCCGGTCGAACCAGTCGCGGGTATTCGGAGAGGAGGCTCAAGTAGTCGGACGGTGCGTCTGCGATCCGAAATACAGGGCTGATTATCGGGGCATCTGAAAGGACACCATCAACACCTAGTTTCGTACGGTCGTCTAAAAGTCTGTGGCGACCAGCATCAACAAGCAACCCAAAATGTCGGAGGAAGTCGATACCGATAATTGCGAAGGGTACAGACGCAACCATGAAGACCCACTGAAAATCTCGGCGAAGATTGAGGTCTAGGTTCATCATGCGCTGACCGAATGAAGCTATCGGAGAACCGTTGGCCGCACGCAAATTGTACCTAGGCTCCGAGTGCTTGTCGCTAGCGGTCGCTGGGACGACGCTGACTTCCGCTCCCGTGTCGATGAGGAAGGTGATGGAAGAACGTCGATCCTTAACGTAAAACAGTCGGTTTGCTTGGCTATTGAATGATACGTTTGTAGTGCTAGTATGCGGGCTAATCGTTTTCCCTGGGTCGTGCCTAATGCAGGGAGCCCGACAACGTCTAGCTCTTCCACCGTATTGGCGGTGATACCAACATACTTCTTCGACGGGTTTGACACTATCTGACTGAGAACTTGTAAGGAAAATGTTGCGCTTTCGTGCCGAACGTGACGTACTCGGTGCAGGCACAGACGAGCCGCAATGAACGGTAGCCAAAACGTGGTCAGCATTTGACCGTGGCACACGCTGCTTCGAAGCCTTCATTGCTGCTATCCTGCTGCGAAGTAGCGCAATTTCCTCGTCTTTAGAGTCAGATCGGTCTAGCGACTGGAAACAAACATGGGATTCGGTTTTCATCGGTGAGAATACGTCACCGGAGTTACTGGTCGCCTGCTGCGGAAAACGTTCGAACGCAGCGTCTGCCTTGGTAGCTAAGTCTTTCAGGGATGCATCTATAAACATGGACAGCATTACCGGCAATGGCTCTGGGAGACGTGCAAACCACAGCTCCTTTATCCCTTCTTCGCTCAAGAATAAGGGACCAGCGATGCGCTGAAGTTCGCGGAGCAATGCCGACGGCTTGCGATCTCCAAGCTTGAGACCATTGAGCTGCTCAAATCGTGTTCGTGCGCTGGGTCGTAACTCTTTCAATATCGCTTGCTTCATCGTTTCATACTTTGCCTCATTCGATGGGCAGAGTAGAATGTCCTCAATCAGCGTCACTACCGACGGAGGAAGGCGTGGGACGAGCTGATTGTACCTTGGACGGTCCGCCGTTATGCCCTTATTTTCTAGTTCGATCTCGAATATCTTAAACCAAACTTCTGGACTGTGTTCCATGAAACTTGGAACAGCCAAAGTAAGCATGGTTACGCTGTGAAACGACTCAGATGCCGCTCTCGAAATGTGAGTCGAAAGATAAAGAACGAACAAAATACGATAAAGTACTAAAATTACGCAAGAAACAAATGAATATAGGTATATAATCGAGAAAAAGGAACGAACTCACCAAAAAATACAAACGAGAAAAAATGTTGAATTCGCGCGTGCGAATCGGGGTCACCAATTTGTAGGACTAGTTAATACTAGTCCGAGACGATGCGCGGAATTAAGCGCGGATATCAGAAGGCAATTGGAGTCGGACACAGCGGACTGTATTCGATGGGCTACAACAAGAAACGGACGGATGAAGCGAGGCAAGAGCGTACACGTGAGCGCGGGAACTTACAAGGCAGTTGTGTGTCGAGCCGGTTGTAAGATTAAAACAAGAAGGAGTAATGTACAATCGATCAACAAGTAAATTGTACACGAAAGATAAGAGTTATCTTTTTGGGCGCTACAGAGGAACCCACAAGTGAACGCACGTGCCGGAGGAGTTGAGACGGGTTGCGGTCTCCAAGCTCTATGCCTGAAACTAGCATGTGTAGCCATGCTTCATCGGAAGCCGTAGTGCGTTTTAGAACGGCTGATTTGAGCTTGTCATACGGCGATTCATTCGGCATCGGATCAAGAATATCGATCACCTCCGAGGCTATCTGTGAAGGAAGATGAGCGGTGACGTATGAAAACATCGATGGTTGCGAAATGATCTTACGAAATCGGAAGATAGCCTCCACCTGAATAAACCAAACACGAGGGTTTGAAACATCAAAGGTGGGTAACGAAAAGCCAATTAAGTTTTCACATGGTTCACTGGGGGAAGCGTAGTCAGACATAAGGAAAAAAAGAAAAGTAATCAAAAAATAATTAAATAGACGGGGTCACCAAATATAGTGTCTGACAGAGAGTTATAACCGCTGCGAATAGGACCTTAGCTCGATTGTTCACGGTCAAGTTACAAAAGGTAAAAATCAGCAAACCTGTCCGATGACACGAACGGAGGAATCGAACACTGATCGTAGATAGAGATCCGACGACTGATACGAAGCCCACACAACACTCGAAGGCGGCACAACGTCACCGAAACCAGAAGATGAGCGAAATTCGAAAATGAGTATATGTCTTGTTGTGTGTTAAAACAAATATACAAAAATTGACGGAAGATAGAATAGGAAGTTACAAGTTATAGACGCTACACATGCTTCTCGAAAACGGACTACCTGCCACCTGTGTATGTCATTGATGCGCAGTCGGAGGAATGTTTCAAACATCAATTGGATTCTTACCTGTTGAGTAAACTCGGATCTTGTTGCTTCTTGTGTCAATGCAGCGGTTCCATTGGAACCGACTTGCAATGTCCACCTTGATCCCTGTGACGAACGGGAGGCGATGGAGCTGATAAAGGATTTTTCCTTTTGCTCTCTACATTCCAATGAGCCAATGACCCTATTACCATTCCAAATGTGATATTATTGTGACGTGTCAACGGCGTTGCTTTAAGTCCATCTCTGGATTCCGTGACTTCTCCTATTCCCTTCGACTTCAACGATTTAACCTGTCCTCCCTAGATTGCCGTCATCGCGTAGATTTGATTTTTACCCAACATATTCTTAGAGGAGAGCTGGTTAGTGACTTACGGATTTTCTCTCATCTCAACGCTGAGTGTTCGACAGGTCACAGTTGGGAACTGTGTTAACAAAAGCGGCTCCGTGGGCTGTCCACTCTGGCTTTATTTACTCGCGTTGTAAACGACTGGAACAGCTTACCAGAGTCCGTCGTCGATACGACGTCAGATGAATGATTGTGAGATTCTCACTTAAGAAAACCGCTATGTTGCAACTTTCAATTCATCTGCAGTGGTCCCCTTCGGGATCATGTTTCGTAGTGATCTGATAGTGATGAAGCTGATGAAAGATCTCCCTTCTGCTCTCTACCAGTCAATAATACAAGGTCGGTGATTAGGTAGATGTCAACGGCATTTCCCGTTTCTTCTCTGAAGTCACTGGGGCAACAACTGCCGCGAACAATGCATCGGCATGCTGCTGCTGCTTTTTTTCCTTTCATCAGTCGCTTCCGCAGAGGCTACCGCTCTTACACGTCCTGCTATATTACGATTTAACTCTGGTCTTTTCTTGTTTTTCTGTTCTTCCACCGTTCAAAAACCATATGCGTAGATGAGGCGGCGCTAGATCTAGGTCTGACTTATAAATTCGGTTATGTAGCTATTTTTTATACTAGGTAAAACTTCCTGGTTGTAGCAATCTGGAGATTCCCCCAGATTGCCTGAGCACGTTGTGTAAAATACTAAATAAAGTTATCTTGTTGTACACTTAAAGATTGTTTGTAGAATGCTGATATGTACGTTGCCTTTTTTGTCTAACCCAACACACACGCGATACATACACGACGGCACGTTTGGATTCAACACGCCGCTCTATCGTGCAGTCCTTCACATTCTTCCCTAGCTACCTCGCATCGTCCGGTGTATATTAGTAGCCAATACACGAGAACAGCGTGTACCACCATACACTCTCATCCTGTTACTTCCGTGCCTTCTCTTCCATCACTGGGATCGGTACTCACCAGTAGTCTGTTAGCGTGAGCCGGTCACTCTCGCTACGTAGCCATTTGCGGTATATGAATCGTATCAGTTTCTATTTTGTACTTATTTAATGCACACTCTATTTGTCACAGGTTAAACCAACCCCCCCCAAACAAATGACCAAGGTAACCATCTGTACGCTAATGCATGCTAGTTGTTTCAGCCAGTTCTTTACTCCTTCTACAGAAGCTCGGCGTCTTACCGCGTCAGAATAGGCAAGTTCATTCTTTTTCCGTTATTGCTATAATTTACATTCACATGACAAAGAATCTCCAGTATATTCGATGCTATCAGAGCATTGTTCTCATCAGTGCTAACTGCAAACTATCCACCAGCATTTATATTACGCATGTGGTCGTCTTCAGTGTTCGATGCACGCAGCTTACACTGTTCTTTTCGCAATCATTTAGACGCTTGTGTGCAAAATCTAACGATGCCACAGCGATATACGTACCACAGTATCTTCCTGTTGGGTACGGAAGGGATTTTCAAATAGCACTAGTTCCTCTTAATCATTGTGCACATACGTGTGTGCTGGGAAAGTACACGCCTATTCTATCGGTTCATTCTGCTCACGTGTCCACTTTTGTGTTTGACACGTTCCTTCTATTTTCCTTATACGCTGAATAACTTGTAAACTTCCTTTTTCTTCATGGGGCACGGTAGTTCGCTAAACCATGTGTTATCTCCCTAACCATTAAATGCTGTAAGTGATGAGAAAACGATACTTTTTTGGATACATTCGATGCCTTCACTCCTAGAACAAAAAACTGAACTTATGCACACGGAGGCGCGTCGCAATCCCTTCTTGCAACGAATACCTTAAAATGATCCCCACTTTGTTTACTTCTCTGGAGTGCTTCTGCTGTATGTCTTCACCGAGGAATGGCGTTTGGCGACATTAACATATGTTAACTGTTATGATCCCTAGAATACCTAGAAGATACCGCGTTACCTACCCAAGTTCAGTCAACTCAATATAACTTCGCATTCCTTAGCACTGTGCTTCTGGCGCTGGGGCCCGTCAAATGAAGATATGTAAAACAGTGGGCCCCCTTCGAAATGTTGACGTCACAACCTGTCTCCCCTTTGCTTTTTCGAAATGAACATATGCTGCTCATGACTGGGGAGATATCACACTATACACGTTAGATAGAGGTGGGAAACGCCTCAGCTACTGTGCCGCAATACCTAAAAGAAAAAAGGAATGAAATGCAACAGGTGCAAGCCAGCTGAGCTACCGGTAACGGATGGGCATCCTTCCGATAAGCTATCTCCCGGCCACTATGCAGCAGAAAAAGGAACAATTTTCTATGCAAAATTATAAAATGCTACATAGTGTGATCGTGGTTGGAGAGGAGGCTAAGAGGGATAGGGTGGGACAAAGAAACTCACAGCACGAACGCCACTGAGGTCGGCTCCTTGTCATGTCAGCAACTGGATCCAGCCAAACGTGTTCACCGTCTTTTGGACCCCAACCAGGGAGCCGAGACGCTACAACTGAGACCAGCTTCGAATTGGGGGCCTTCATTCCTCTCGACCAAGTCATCGCTTGGCCACCTCTCCCGTCCACACCCCCGTCGCGCAAACAACGCACGTCGCGAAAGTCGGTGGGCTGGGATGCGCAACACCTGGCCGAGCCATCGGAGCCTGGTGCATGAAATAATGGTGCTGAGCGGTTCATTTCCTTTACCTGTGCCGTAAACAAGGTGTCGAACACGCTCGTTGCTCACACGGTCTTCCCACCAGATGTGAGCTAAATTGCGAGGGCACCGGTGGTCGAACGTAACTAGCCTCTTTATGTCCGGTGATCTAAGGGGCCAGGTTTCACAACCGTACACTAGGGTCAAACGTACCGTTGCATTGTACACTCTACCATTCAGGGCGAGAGTGATGTCGCACCGGCACCATAAGTGATGAAGGTTAGCAAAAGCGCATCGAGCTTTTGCTATACGGTTCGTGATCTCATCTTCAATCCCATGAGCGCTGATACAGCTTCCCAGGTAGTTAAATTTTTTTCAACTAGCTGTGAGAGATAGTAATATCGTTAATCATGGGCTTAATACAGTTCCTTGCTGTTATCAGCTTTTACGTTGGCTCTATGTCTAGTTACTAGACTGCTGAGATTACATACATACATACATCAGCTTTTACCTCAACAACAACATACGACGGAATAACCTGACAACACCAGCATAGTCATCCCCGTCTGCACAGACCATCGCGACGAGACTGAACCTTAACGTGGTGCGACGGTTTGCGTACTTCTTTGGCCCATGGAGCTATACTGGGTGATGCCTCCAGGCCGATTGAAAGCTAATTCGACCAGGTTAGTCAATGGTTAGAGGTCAGACGAACTCAGTCTCCTGGTCTTCCAGGTTGCGGGTTTGCAATTGGATGACATCTTTTACTGTAAAACCAACTCCGTCTGCCATCTGCCATCTCCCGCTGCCTTGCGGAGTTTTTTGAATCAAAGACTGTTTGAAGATCCTAATCGTTCTTCTCTCCAGGTCTGGGCACCTTGGTCGTATCCCAGCCCTCATGCAACCAAAAACATTTCTTCAAACTTCAACCAAATCCTGCATCGGCTGTCGCGCAGATTATCAAGCGTCGCCCTACCTGCTGCATACACCAGAGCGGATAAGCGAAACCATACTACTGCTGGCGCCTCCTTTCTTTTCCACCTGCTCTCTTATTCCCCTCCCAGCCCACATTACTAACCTTTCACTCATAATTTTCAGCTTACTTGACAACATCCGCAATGCCACTGTAGTTTTACCATCTGCAACTATCTTTCTGCGCCACCCATTGGACGCCAATCGCTGACAGACATGCTGTCCCATTCCCCTAGCGGTGTTCAACATTTGCAAACTGGTCCACCGACTGCACTCGCAAGCACACTGGACACACTGGTTTTTGACATGTGATGCGTATCCAACACTAAAATCATTGACCCTCACGTGATTGTTGAATTAACTGCGCCCGGCTTGGCTATTGGTTGCGCGCATCCGGAGACGCTAATGCGTCAATCATTGGGGAAGCTGGGGTAGGCATCGTTCTCAGCTCCAAGGCTGTCATCATTGGTTGGTTGCAGTCCTGTGAGCTGTCGTTTGTGTGCAACCCGTTTGACGACGCCAACTGAACTTGATTCATGAAATAGTACAAAGTGCTGTTTGGATGTGACTTCCGCTTGGCCACCACCGACTGCACTTCTGATTCTGCCAAGGACTCCTTCTATTATGAACTGAACACGCCGCTTCTTCATTTTACCATTTCAAACATCGATGTTGTTGCAGTGGATGTGAATGCGCAAATAGGTCGCCTGGGCTCTTCAGAAGCTCAGGTAGTAGGTATGAGATTAACCCGACGGACGGACAACGGTAAGCGTCTATTCCAACTGTGTGCGAAACACCGGCTGTTTCTTAGTAGCACCGCATTTAGACACAGTAGACACCGAAGTACCATTTGGCGTCCATCTATAGCTGGCCAGCGATGGACCCAAATTAATCACGTTATCATGAGCTACAGGGGGCATGGTTCCATCCTGAATTGTCGCTCGTTCTGAAATACTTGCGTCAACTCTGACCATGTTCTGCTACTATGTCGTGTTTCTATGAACTTTACCGGTAGCCGTACCAATCGCCTCCCTCGATTGTCAGCTGTGAAGTTATCTCATCCGTTGATCTGGCAAGCCTACCAGGATGTCCTGCGTACTGAACTTTCGCTCGCTTGTCCTAAGGACAATGAGCTTCAGTGAAATAAGACCTCAGCCGCCATACAACATGCAGGCGCATCCGCTTGCGGCACTATCAATCATCAGCGCATCAGTCATTAAATATCCGAGAGATCGGCGAACCTGTTGCAATCCAGTACAAAACTTTCGGTTGGCTCTGAACACGATGAAAATAGGCGGACTATTAGGCTCGAACTAAAGCGCAGTCTGCGTGCTGACAAGGTCTGGCGGGTCAGTCAAACTCAAGAAATGGATGAATCGGGATCATTATGCAATACTTAGAAGCTGTTCCTACTGATCCGCACCACTAGTCAGTGAGCCAATCGTAAACAACATAGGTGCTATGATACATAGTAAGGAGTGCCGTGTAGCTCGTTTAGCGGAAAATTTTCAAGAAGTTCACTGGGCCCCCTGCTTCTGGGCCTCTTCTTAATAAGTGTTGCAGGTTGAGCGATGGTCAGTTAGTTTAACTACTCCACCGAAGGCTGAGGCCCGAACGCGGTCGTTGCCCTTAATCGTTTTCGTGCTGCTGGCTCGGACTCGATCGCACTCACACTATTTAAGGATAGTGGGAGGTCCTTTGCAAATCACTGACCTCCCTATTCGAGCAGTTCTGTAAGAAAGACTATCCCGGCTAACTGTAGTGATTTGATTATAGTTGCAATATACAAGAAGAGCGGTCGTCCCGACTATGCTACAGGGGTATTCGCCTAACGCCAGTAGTGGTAAAATTACTATCCTGAAGTTTCATCCGTTGACTTATTGTGGAACGGGAATCCTGGATTAGAGAAGCGCAAGCAGGTTTTCGCCCAGGACGGAGCTGTGTAGACCATACTTTCATCATGTGGCAGGTGCTAGAACAGCGCCACACTTATCACTGGCCGCCAATAGCTGTGTTCCTGGACTTAGAGAGTGCATTCGACTCGGTCGATTGATACGTTCTCTTTTAGATGTCGACCGGTGGCCGAAAGGATTGCACGCCTGGCTTGCAGCCCTAGGTCATCGGTCCGAATCTGCGTAAGGGTAGGCGTCCTCGCGGTATGCTCAGCCCACGCGCTACTGGGGGTGGTCGCGTGGCAGTGAAGCGTCGGTACAGTGTGCCGGCGTACTGCTGATGACCTATTCGAGATACTTGTGTGGAAAGATCTTTCCATGAATTATGTGAACATTTTACGTGCTCTGTACTCGAATACGACAGGTCGCATCAGGATCTATGGTGACTTGTCGGATGTTTTTCCGACAAGTGACGTTCGTCGGGGTTGCCCAATTTCCCAATTTTGTTCATCTTCGTCCTGGATTCCCTCATCCAGCGTTCCGTTGCGGAGCCTCACGATACAGGCATAGAGTCGCTGCCTGGTGAAAGACTAGTTGATCTTGCTTATGCGGATGATATTGTCAAGCTGATGGACGATACTGGAGCGACCCAATCAACCCTAAGTGACCTCTCGAGTGGTCCTATCATTGCCATTCGCTTCGCACCTT